TGGGAAAGATTGAAGGTGGGAGAAGGAGACGACAGAGGATGAGATGGTTAGATGACATCACCGACTCAATGGACATGATTTGGGGGAAACTCCCGGGAGTTGGTGAAGGACAGGGAGGCCTGGCGTGCTGCAGTCCATGGGGTCGCAAAGAGTCGGACACGACTGAGCAACTGAACTGAACTGAATGCAACTACTTTAATAACTTTAGTAAGTGACTTCCATACTCACTTGAATTCCAGGAGGCTATATATTATTATTGCATTTATAGGTGAAAAAGCTGAGGTTCAGAGAAGTAACTAGTCCAAGGTTATGTTGCTAGTATGTGGTAAAGGCAAAACTGGAACTCTCGCTCTTAGACACAGCCTGTAACATCGCCAGTCCCCTCAAGGCTGGATTCAGTCTCACATGACACTGGGCATCTCGTTTGCTTTTTTTAAGCCTTGGTATTTCCACCTGTAAAATGGGGGTGAGGGATCCAACTGTCAGCTTCTACTCATGCGCGGTCAGGAGCTCAGCTCGGAGATCGCATGGATAATGGGGAAGACCAGGAGGTGGAGGCCGCGAATCTCTCCATCTGAGCTCACAGCTCCAAGTTGCCACCTCCGGGCTCCAGCCAGGTTCCCATGACAACCCGGCGAGCCGCCATCCTGGGACCGACGGCGTGCGTCACTTCCGGCCCGTTTATTTCCGGGTCCCAGCCCCAGACCCGCGTCGGCGGCCCTTTAGGCCCCGAAGCGGGACACCGCCGCTTCTCTGCTCACCCTTCTGCCTCAGGCTTCTTCTCCGCCTCCGGCGAGCGTCGACCTCTCCCCGGCCCAGCGCGCAGCCGCGGCCCGGCCTCCCCTTGGGCCCGCCTCCAACGTCACTTCCGGACTGAGTGCTTCCGGGTCGCCGAGGCCCCAGGGTACTGGTCTCGGTCTCCCGCAGCCGGCCGGAGCTCCGAGTGCCCAGCCGGGCCCGGCTCCGGCGGCGGCCGTGGCTGCTTCCTGCTCACCTCGGCCGGGGTGTCCTCGGCGGCGGTGCCGGGGTAAGGACGGTTCGGCCGCGGGCGGAAACGGCGTCTGGGGCTTCCCTGGGCGGAGGGGGCGCCCGATTCGGCGGGGCTCGACCGGCCCGGGAGCGAGGTCCCTTCGCAGCCGGCGAGGGGGCGATGGGCGGGCCCGCCTTTCCGGCACTCCGGGGGCCCGGCTGCTCCTCAGGATCCCCGCTCCCCCGAGGGCTGCCTCGCAGCCTCTTGGGGACCGGCGGTGGGAGGCTCGGGGCAGCTCAGGAGGAGCACCCCATGTTCGGCAACTGTCGCGGCAACAAGACACCCCGATTCCAGCCGCAGGCAGTTACCGCGCAGTTGGTCCTCAGCCCAGGCTCCGGTGGCAGACCGGGGTTTGAACTCACTGTGTGACCTTGGACAAGTCACTCCATCGTCTGAGTCTCAGTTGGCTGGTTAGTTCAATGGGGAGTGAACCTGTCTGCTCGGGGCCGGGGTGGGGATGAAGGGAGATGCATACGGAGCACAGCCTCTGGCAAACAGAAGGCGTCCAGTAAATGATGCGTGCGTGCTCGGTCGCTTCAGTCGTGTCCGACTGTTTGCGACCCCACAGGACTGTAGCCCCGCCAGGCTCCTCTGTCCATAGGATTCTCCAGGCAAGGATACTGGAGTGGGTTGCCATGCCCACTCAGGGATGGAAGCCGGGTCTCCTGCGTTGCAGGTGGATGCTTTACCCTCTGAGCCACCAGGGAAGCACCCCCGCCAATAAATGACAGCTGCTCTCTATTCGGCAGCAGTCCCTGGGGAGGGCCCGAGATTGGGACTAGGGTGTTTTTCACAACTGATGTGACACTTGGAGGCCGTAGGAATTACCAGACTGGGAATAGCAGTCTCCAGCTTCTGTGTGATGCAGGGAGGGGAGCCTGCTTGCTCCAGAGCCCCTCTGCCAGCGGCGGCTGCCACTGGGGAAGCCCAATTTCAGCATCGGCTGAGGCTATTTTCAGAGGTCGGAAGCCCTCTCTCTGAATCTCTCTGGGATGGGGTTGGGGTGTGGGGACCCTCTGGTCTTTTCACTGCCAGTGGAAGGTTGCCTAGGATGTGTCTCAGGGGCCTGGGGATGAGTGCCAAGGAGTGGGGTGCGGAGGTGAAGGGGGTTGATGGGCACTCCCCTTGCTGCTGTTTGGAGGCCCAGGGAACTCTTGAGCGGCCTGAAGCTACACCAGGGATCTGTAAACCTGTGGAGTGGGGCAGTGCTGGGCCCAAAAATAGCTTCTGCCTGTGCAGGGAGGAGGCAGCCTTCAGATGCTGCTTGGGGAATGTTTCTGCTTGAATGGGCCAGCTGAGGTAAAGCCAAGCTCATGCTTTGCTATCCAGAATCATTTCAGTTCCGTTCAGTCAGGTTTTAAACAGATCCAGCTTTCCTCTGAGATGTTTAAAAAATAATTAGAATGCCACCACCCCCCACTCCCGACTGCAATCTCTCTCTCTTCATTGCTTTGCTTTTCAAAGGGGGACCCAGATTGTGGGTGCAGGAAGGTGCTGACCAGGTCTCTTGGCTCTGGACACCCACCTGATTCTGTTAGGGATGTTCATGGTACCATGCTTTTTTTTTTTTTTTTATTCTTCCACCAGCCTGGTATGTCTTGGCATTCCAGTCCTTGGGTTGCTTGGAGAAATTAACGGCTTCTGTCACTGCGCTGTCTTGGTATCCTGTAACCACGCTGTTTTTGCAGAGAGCGTGTTTTTTGTTGTTCTTGCAGAGTGCTAGGAATAAATTGCTGGCTCTGTGCTCAGAAGAGACACCAGCTATGACCAGCTACAATGCAGCCTGTATTCTCAGAAAATGAATTCAGGAGGGATGATGTCAGCTGCTTTACCACTGGCCGGGCGCTGGTCAGCCTCCCCTCTCAGCCCTCGAGCTTACGTCATAGAGAGATCTGTGCTCTTCCAGTCCCGCTCCGTGTGAGAAGATGGGAGTCTTGCTGCCACCAAAATTTTTAGAACTCAGCTCCACTGGCCCTGCCATAGGGCGTCTGCCTTAGTGGAGCCCTTCTGAGAAGAGCTGTCCTGCAGCCAGACGGCTGTGCCTGAAAGCAGCGTGGCTCAGAGCTTGAGTCAGGGTTTTGGCATCAGACCCGGGTTCAGCTCCCTGAGCCCCTTCTCCCTATCCTCGTGGCTTAGGGCGAGCGACTTGGCCCCTCTGCACACGCACGCTGAGTCGCTCAGTTGTGTCAGATTCTTTGTGGGCCCATGGCCTGTGGCCCGCCAGGCTCCTCTGGCCGTGGGATTCTCCAGGCAAGAGCACTGGCGGGGGTTGCCATTCCCTCCTCTAGTTGGCCCCTCTGAGCCTCAGTTTTTTCTTGTTTAGCCTTGGGGTTGTCGAGTGGGTTTCGCTGATTTTCATGGGGCACTTAGCAGAGGGCCCTTCTGTGCTAATCCCTCGGTGAATGGTCCTCATGGTAACCACAGATGAGTGAGGAAAAGGAGGAAAACCCCAGGCCATGGGGCGGCCGCCCCAGGTTCACGTTCCAGCTCTGACCTCTTCAGGCTCTCTTGAGCAGGTGGTTTAATGGCAGAGCCTTGCTTTCTCTCCTCATAGAACTGTAAGGACTAAACTGGATGATGCAGTTAAAGTGGAAAGTCCGAGGCCTAGCGCACAGTAGGACCACGATAATTGTTCCTTTCCTTCTTGCCTTTCCTCAAGGGTCTTGTAGCATTTTCTTTCACCTGTTTCCTCACCAGTTAGGCTGGTTCAAGATTCCCCTTGGACATGTTTCCCCCCCTTCACTTTAGGACTTTGAATACCAACCGGGCTGTTTGCAGCCCTTTTGCTTGTTTATTTGCCAGCCACAAACAAGGGTGGGGGCTGTCGTGTGGTTCCAGCACTGAGCAGACGCTGAGCTGAGCTTGAGGGTGGCTGACTCTGTTTAGAAAAAAATAAAAAGTCAGTCTCTATTGGCTCAAGCCTGACTTCTTTGGAGAAAAATCACAGCAGTGTTTAGGAGGCTTGATGTTGCTCTGTCTAAATTGTTCTCAGATGTACTAAAAAACAGTCCCTGGGGCCAGAGGCCGGATGGAAGCTTCTTTTGGATAAATAAAAAAAATGGTAAATGCATATGGGTTTTTTTTAAGCAAGGACAGTGATGTCTTCTCTCAGGTTGCAGTGCGGTTTTATTTTTAAAGCGAACACACATACTTGGATACTGAGCGGTAAGCCCGTTCAGCTAGAATTCAGGGCAGAGCTCTGTCTTCTCAAACGCTGTGCCCTCCTGTCCCCTGCCTACGCTGTGTCCCCCCCCACTGCACCAGCCTGGGGCCTGGCACCAGGGAGGCCTGCATATTGCTGAGCTCAGGAATCATGGGGTGGAGGGAGGAACACAGCTTTCCAGTCGTCAGGCCAGGCTCGGAACCTGGGGTCCACCTTTTCCTAACCCAGAGCTTACATAACCCCGTAGCAGGTCATGTCATGGAGCCTTGGTTTCTTCCCGCTCCCGTTGACCTTCCAGAATTCTGGGGAGAGCTAAATGAGAAACACGAGCATCGTGAATGCTGACGTGCTTTGCATCATGCATTTTGCCTGTTTTATCAAATACCTACTGTGTGCCAGGTGCTGTGTTAGACATCACGGTGAACAAAACAGACATCATCCTTGCCTTTGCAGGGTTGACTGCTTACTGGATATTATTGAGGGGAAGATAGTAAATGAATAAAGTTGAAAATTTTCCTAAGTTGTTTTTTTTTTGGCCGCACCCAGTGACATGCAGAACTGACTCCACCAGGGATCGAACCCACACCCCCTGCAGTGGAACTGTGGAGTCTTAACCAGCAAACTGCCCGGAATGCCCAAAGTTGATGATTTCAGCTGGTGATTACCTGAGGATAATGGGATGACGAGGGCCAGGCAGGTGCGATTTAGTGAGCTGGGGTGGTCAGGGAGCGCCTTGGAGGAGTGATGGTTGCTTTGAGACCTGAATGATGAGAGTGAGCCCACGACAGGAGGAACCAGAGGAAGAACATGCAGAGGAACAACAAGTGCAAAGGTCCTGAGATCAGAATGGGCTTGATGTGTTTGAGGAGCAGGCAGAAGGATCTGTGTGGGTGGACTTTAGAGGGTAGGGATGGCTGTTCTGAGGACCACAGAGACCTTGGGCAGGAGGGAGAATTTGATCCCAAGTGGCATCGTTTGCCTTGCATGCGCCTCAGGTCTGAGCCTTGGGCTTCCTTGGCGGGGCAGTGGGTGGGAGAAGGTGGCTTCTCTGTGTCCCTAATTCTCCTGCATGTCTTACTCCGTGGGCATCTCCCCAAAACTGGAGAAGCCAGAGGAGTGTCTCGTTACCGCCTGCATGATTTTATGGACTTCCTGATCATCACCAGGCTCATGGGCACTTAGGACTTCTGAGCCGGACTTGGAGCTGCCAGAGGATTGTGCAGGTCCGTCCCATCCCATCGAAACTTTTCGATCCCTCACCATCTCCCACAGCCAGCAGGACCCCACCACACACACACACCCCACACATAAAACACACCTCATACATAAAACACACCACACACACACTCTGACCTCACCATCTCCCACAGCCAGCAGGACCCCACACACACACGCTCTGACAGTGGCAGGTTTTTATGAAGCGTGTGCCCTGCCCTGGCACTGTGACCTTTCCTGAGTCACTCGGTCACAATCTCTGCACCCACAGAGCTTGTGGGCAGGAAAGGCAGGACAGGTGAGCATGAAAGCGCATGTCCACCCCAGTGGGAGATTTTTGGGTCGCTCTGATCCCACCTCCTGAGGACGCTTGGCAGGCATCGCCCCTGCCGGCACTGGGCACGCCTGCTTGTGTGCCTGTGGGCCTGCTGTGAGCGGGCGTTCTGGAGAGCGCGCTTTTCCTTCCCTGCCCGTGGCTGTACTGGGGCTTCGCTGCAGCACACCGGCTCTTTGTGGCGGTGCACAGGCTTCCCTGGTTACCCTGAGGCGTCTGGGGTCGCAGTTCCCCGACCAGGGATGGAACCCTCACCCCTGGCATCAGAGGGCAGGTTCTTTACAACTGGACCACCGGGGAAGTCCCTGAAGAGCTTTCTCTACTGACTGCAGAGAATCCTTCTAGCAGCTCTGGACTGTAAGAATTATTAACCCCCTTTTTCAGATGGGAAAACTGAGTTGAGTACTTGGCCCAAGTAACCTGGAGGAGTAGATCCAGGGTTCACACCCAGGCAGTCCAGCTTTGAAGTCTGTCTGTAACCCCTGTGGGCTGTGTTGCCTCCCCTGGCCCTGGCAGTATCCCTCGATGAATACAGGTTTGCTGCAGCATCGTAGAGCCAAGAATATTGATGGATCTGTGCCTGTTCTTCTAACAAGTGGCCAGGGAGATGGCAAGAGTGTGTGAATCCTGTGCATCCAGCCTAGAAGGTTCTGTCCTCTCCCAAGAGGGAACCGTAAAAAACAAAGGGGGGTGGGATTCCCTCGAGGTCCAGTGGTTAGGACTTCCAATTCAGGGGGCGCAGGTTCAATCCCTCATCGGGGAACTAATATCCCAGGAGCCACAGGGCACCGCCAAACCCCCCCCCCTCCCCCCCCCCCCCCCCCCGCAGAAAAACAAAGGCAGATCAAGGGACTCTCCAAGAGTCAGCAGCCAAAGAAGCCTTTTTTTTTATGATTACAGATGTGATCGTGTTCTGTCTCCCTTGCTTTGAACCCCTCAGGGCTTCACGGGGCTCTTTGAAAGACACGTCTGACTCGCTGCGACCCGGGGACTGGGAGCCTGCTGGTGTGGGCAGCCCCTGTCCTGTGACCCTCCTCCTCTCTCTGCATCAGCCTCACTAGCCTTCTTGCTGTTTGCGTGCCAGCTTCCTCCTGGCCCCAGGAAAGTGGGCTGTGACGGTGAAGGGCATGGGCTTTGGAGCAGCCGGCCTAGGTGCTCACCTCAGCCCTGCTCCCTAATAGTCCTGTAGCTCTGGGCGTGTTCCTTGGTGTCTCAGTTTTCCCGTTTGTAAGATGGGGGTGACAATACCACCTAACTCCTAGGGCTGCTGAAGAGAGGATGAGTTACGATGTGTGGGCACCTGGCATGTAGTAAGCGCTCACGGTGTTAGTCCGGGACCTCCCTCCCTGCCAACGCTTCACTCTCTGGGTCTAACCCTCACTTTCTCAGGGGCTTTTTAACCCTCCCCCACCCCTATGAAACCAGGTTCGATGCCCCTGATCATATTTTCCAGCAGAGTCAAGGACCTTGTCTGTCCTATTCCCACTGCAGTGTGGTGCGCCTGTCCGCTGAGCGTGTTGGAGCCCTGGTGTAGCTCAGGCCAGCTCTGCTTCTGGCCTGGCCTCGGCGTCCACCGATGGGACGCGGACCATTTCAAGGAATGACGTGCTTCTCGTCTTCCCCTCCCAGAGCGTTCTGCAGGTCCAGGCAGGCAGCATGTTGACACGTCTGGCAATGTTCCTGCCTCTAACCCAGAAGCCATGAAGGAGATAAGGTAGCCCCCGTCCCTGGATCGGATTGGATGGGGAAGCCCAGTTCAATGGATGCAAAATACAAGGATGACTTGTTCCGGAAGTACGTGCAGTTCCACGAGGGCCAAGGGGACGCCACCCCCGGCAGTGATGAGTCCCTGCGGGCGGCAGCCTCCACCCTGCTCAGCCTGCACAAGGTGGACCCCTTTTATCGATTCCGGCTGATCCAGTTCTATGAGGTGGTGGAGAGCTCCCTGCGCTCGCTCCGCTCCTCCAGCCTGCGGGCCCTGCGCTGCGCCTTCGGCGTGCTCGAGACGGTGGGCGTCAACCTCTTCCTCTGCCCCTGGAAGAAGGAGTTCAGAAGCATCAAGGTGAGGTCTGGGGACGGGTCCTGCACACTGCTGCCCCCTCTTGCGCCTTCCTGTCCATCTTGGGAAGAGGGTTTGTGCCCCGTGTAATCTCCTTCCTCTGCTTTGGCCCTCCCGGCTTCCCCACTGCCCCTGAGATGAGGACCAGAATTGCCCACCTGACCTCCCCGCCTAGTGCCTTCTCTTCACTGGTTCCCCACCCCTGGCAGCTCGCATCTGAAACCATGCGGTTGGAAAGGTGGGCAGCACCCAGTTACTCAGGGCGTTGGAGCCCGGGGCAGGGGCTGGAATTTATCCTAAGGGGACTGGGATCCGGCTTCTACAGGAGAAGACTACTCCTGGCAGTTGTATGGGACGTGGACCGCGGGGAGACCTTTAGGAGGCTGCCGTAATCGAGGGAAACAGGGATGCGGGGGGAAGAGGAACTGGAGACTGAGAGTTCTGAATCATTCCAGAGGCGGTGATGGCTCAGGAGAGTTTCCCCCGGGTCAGGCTACGTCTCACCGAAATCCCAGAAAGGTGTTCTGTCCTTGCTCCTGGGTGTTTCTGCCTCTGACCCGATTCCCTTTCTCCATTGGTGTTTGCCCTGCACCTCCCCAAGGAGCAAGGGCCCCTGCACCCCATGTGGAAGGCCAGTGGCTTTGCTCCCTGCCCCCTGGGGTCACTTCCCTCAGACCCCTGCACTGAGCTGTGGGGGAGCAGTAGCCTCCACCTGCCGCCCGGAGATGGCCCTGACCCCCGCTCCCCACGTGCTCGTGTGCAGACTGTGTGGGCCTCGCCCAGGTACAGTCTCCGCGGTGTGTCTGGGAGAGAAGAACCCACCTCTGCTCCTCTGCCCTCCCCTCCCCTAGACCTACACGGGCCCCTTCGTCTACTACGTCAAGTCGACGTTACTGGAGGAGGACATCCGAGCCATCCTGAGCTACATGGGCTACGTGCCCGAGCTGGGGACCGCCTACAGGCTCAAAGAGCTGGTCGAGACGTTGCAAGTGCAGATGGTCTCCTTCGAGCTCTTCCTGGCCAAGGTGGAGTGCGAACAGATGCTGGAGATCCACTCGCAGGTGAGGGGCCAGGGCTACACGGAGCTGGACGTGGTGAGCGAGCGCCGGGGCAGCGCGGAGGACGCGCGGGGCTGCGCGGAGGCCCTGCGGCGGCGCGCCGAGGCCCGCGGGCCGCTGTCGGCCTCCATGGCGCGCATGGTGCTGCAGAAGTCGGCCAGCGAGCGGGCGGCCAAGGACTACTACAAGCCCCGCGTGACCAAGCCCTCGCGGTCGGTGGACGCCTACGACAGCTACTGGGAGAGCCGGAAGCCTCCCCTGAAGACCTCGCTGAGCCTGCGGAAGGAGCCGGCGGCCACCGAGCCTGGAGATGAGCTCAAGGACGAGATCGTCCGCCCGCCGCCCTCGCTCCTGACCGTGGCCAGCTCCCCGCACGGCGGCGCCGACGACCTGCCGGCCCCCGCGCCCAGCAATGGGCTCGGCCTGCTGCGCAGCCCCTACCTGCCCGGCCCAGATGACGTGGATCTGTACACGGACGCGGAGCCCCGGGCCGCCTACCGGAGGCAGGACGCCCTGCGGCCCGACGTCTGGCTGCTGAGAAGCGACGCCCACGCCGGCTACCACAAGCGCTCGCCCCCCGCCAAAGAGTCCGCCCTCTCCAAGTGCCAGAACTGCGGCCTGTCCTGCAGCGCCGCCCTCTGCCAGCGCTGCGACAGCCTGCTGGCCTGTTCCCCGGCCGCCAAGCCCAGCGCCTTCCCCGGCAAGGCCTCCGGCCATGACAGCCTGGCCCACGGGGCCGCCCTGCGGGACAAGTACGCGGGCCAGACTCAGGGCCTCGAGCGGCCGCCGCACCTCCACTCCAAGTCCAAGCCGCCCGCCGCCGCCACCTCCCGCTGTGGCTTCTGCAACCGCCCGGGGGCCGCCAACACCTGCACCCAGTGTTCCAAAGTCTCTTGCGACGCCTGCCTCAGCGCCTACCATTACGACCCCTGCTGCAAAAAGAGCGAGCTGCACAAGTTCATGCCCAACAGCCAGCTGAACTACAAGTCCACCCAGCTCCCCCATCTCGTGTACAGATAGACGCCACTCTGCACCCCCTGCTCCAAGGGCTACACCTCCGACCTTCCTGGTGTCCCGGGGAAGCAGCACTAAGGCGCAGATCTCAGAAGCAGGGCCCAGCCCTTGACCACGTGGGTGGTGGGGGCTCCTGGGGCCGGCCACCCCATGTGGGAGTTCCCTTACCGACTCAGATTATTTCAGCTGATGGCTGCTTTGTCGTCTGTCAGGAGGGAGGGTGGAGCTTCCGTTGGGATTCCTTTTTGCTAATCTCTCCACTCCCTGTTCCGTTTTTTGGGGGGGGTTTGTTTCTTCAAGATAGTTTCTATCTCTGGGACTCTTGCCGACCACTCCCACGGCGAAGCCAACTTGGATTGGGAAGGGCCCCCCGGGTCGCTTCCAGATGCCCACCTGGAGCGGTGAGCTAGAGGCCTGTTGGCTTGTGAAATGAGCCCTCCTGCCACACCGGGCCTCCTCCACTGGCTCATCCCTCCGCCGCCGTCCCCAGACACCGGGACCCCTGCCGGCATCCCCCACCTGCCTTCCCCGCCTTTACACGTCAATGGTGACCCGAGCCCAGGATTCACTGAATGTCATGCTGTTGCCTGCAAAGCTCAGCGCATCCGTGGGGTCTGTGAACTTGGCCCTCCGCTCTGTAGTGTGGACCTTCCACCGCGGCACAGACCCCCTCCGCCCACTTCTGTTGTTTGCACATCCTTTTCTTTCCCTACTGTATATAGATATTTTTGAGATTTATTTTTAAATAAATATTCAACTTGCCGTGTGTTTCAAAGTGGTGAAAACATTACCAATGTAGCTATTTATAAAGATGCCCCAGGTTCTTTAGTCTTCCAGGGGAGGGGCTCATGCCCTTCCACCTTGCCTCCCCTCGCCGCAGCCCGAAGGTCGAGTGGAGCGTGCGGGCGTGAGGAGGAACAGAGATGATGTCCCCTGGGCTCGTGGAGAGCCGCTGTCTTCCCTGCAACCAATCTCAACACCTACCTCCAGTGCGCACCTCGGGGGGCTCGTCCGGGCTGAGAGGTCTCTGCGCCCGCAGACTGAGCACCCAGTGACAAGTCGGGAACCTCACCCTGTGGACCTCCAGCCTGGTCTTCGCTGCTTGCTGAGTGTGGACCTTGCGCTGCAGTCTCCTCGAGTCTCAGTTCAGAAGGAAGAGGGTTTGGGATCCCCACCACCCCTCCACCTCAGTCCTCTCCTCTCCAGCTGTTTCCGGGACTTCTCTAACCTACAGCAACCCTTTTGCACTAGAAGTGGGCAGGAGTCGGCGTGCGCCCAGCAGACAGGCGTCTCCTGAGATTCTTAGCCGAGCCTCAGCACTTCGAAACCCTAAGGCCCCTTAAACTCCTCATGTGAATTAACTGACCCCGGATTATCCTTTTGGGTTTCAGAGCAGGAGCGGGGCAAGAATCGGAAAATAGAACCGCTTCCGTGTGAACTAACAATATATTTTAGCCATAAGTGTTGGTGATGTACAGAATGTTATGGGAATTGACATGCAGTGGGTTTTCTGATGGGAGGAGGTATTCAGCTCCTGAGCACATTTCCATCTGGCTGAATCCTGAGGCCACTGTGAATTTGCTGATGTTCTTCCAACTCAGTTGAGAGATTTTAAGGTTTTCAAAATCTTCTATGGCTCTTTTTTTATATATATATCTAGTAGATCACTTGTAGATATTCCATGTGTATATAAAGCTGAGTTTCAACCAACTTTATTACTAAGGCCCTCCCCCTCGGGGGCACCCATCTTTGATGTTCTTCTTCCTTTTCACATTTCAGACATGTCAATGCCTGTCCCAGTCCTGACTTTTCCAGTTTTCCATTTTCAGACAGCTCTAGCACTACACTAACTCTTAACCAACCGTGATGCCACGTAACTTACACAGCAGACAGAAGCAGGAATAACCCACTTGTTCTGGAAGAGAAAGTCCAGTGTGGGTTATCATCACGGAAACACTGTGTTCGTGGGTTGGAATAGGAAATGCTGTGACCGTGCTCCTCCTCAGTGTGTATCTTAGTTGTATGAGGTTGCTGTGATTGAGATAAATAGATGCTAATTTAAAAATGCAGATGTTTTGCATTTGATTTCTACTAAGAGTTGAAATGTTGAGAGATGCTTTAAAAAATAATAATAAAGTGTCTTCCATTGTTAATGAAGTGTTTGAGGTTTTATGTCTCTCCTCTTTGCCGCTCTGAAGTTTGGGTTGCTTGGGGTTTGTTTTTTGCTGTTTTTGTTTTTGGTTCAAGCCATGTTTTGTTCTTTAGTGACAGGACTCACATTTTCTCCTCCATGAAACTCACAAATGGTAACAGGCAGCATTTGAGTGCTTGTTCTGTGAGACAGACTTTAACAGAAGAAAAGATGTGTGTGTTTCCTCCGGCTGCTCCGGGCCTCCCGCTGCGCGGCCTTCTCTAGCGGGGGCGGTCCGGGACTGCTCTGCAGTGGCAGGACACCGGCCCCTCTTCTTGCCGCATGCAGGCTCTTGGCGCCCTCGCTTCCACGGTTGTGGTGGGTGGGTTCAGCTTTCGCAGCAGAGAAGCTGAGTTGTCCCCTGGCATGTGGGATCTTCCTGGACCAGGGATCGAACCCGTGTCCCCTGCGTTGGCAGGTGGATTCTTTACCACTGAGCCACCAGGGACGCCAAGCCAGGCATTTTATACGCTGAGACTTTTGAGATCTCATGTAATAGTCTCAATCCTCCCAGAAGACAACCTAAATCCCATCTTACAGATGGGGAAACCAAGGTGTGCAGAGTTCAGCCATGCTCCCTAAGAGTGGGACTGTAGATTCCAAGAGAAATGATTGTTAGTGGTGACAGACAGGAGTTAAATAACAGTGAAGGGTGTTGTGTTTAAAAAAAAAAAAAGCAATCCCATAAAAAATTTTGGTTCATTTAAACTCCTCAAGGAGGATCCTGGTCAGTGTAATGCTAGCTTCTCTCTAAGAGAGAGCAGGGCCAAGAATCTTTAGCGGAATCTTGGGTCTTCAGTGCCCCTCTATTCAGGACAGACCATGCTACTTCCCCATTATAGCAACGATAGGAGATTACTTTAAAAGTCAATTTAAGGTATTTTTTTAAAATGAAGTTTCCAGAAATTGATATAACATGGCAAATCAACTAAACTTCAATGAAAATAGTAAATAAATAAATAATGAAGGTTGGCTTAACGTACATGGCAAAGATCTTCAGGGCAGTGTCAGAGCAGCTGTGGTTTGGGGATGTCCTGTCTTTATGCCCTGGTGGGGTGTCTGTGCCACCACGCTGCCCACTCTGGGGGCTTGGCCCCCACGAGGCTGCTCAGCTGTCCAGGAAGAGACTGAATAGTTCTCTCCATCTCTCTCACTGGCTGAACAAATATCCAGGCCTTGGGCCAGACGAAGGCCCAGGTGCTGGGTTTGATTTTAGCGACAGCATAGGAAATGGCCCTACCATCCTGGCTTCCTGGAGATGAACACCCAGCCTGGGAGAGCTAAGGAAGCCAGACACTCGCTCCTGATGCTCCTGTATCTATCTAAGGGGAGCAGAGACTCTGAGCAGATTGCTTTATTTGCATATGTAAATGACAAGCATATTTAAGCACCACCAGGCCCACCAGCTGTACAGATTACCACGAGTCTTGCTGCCAGCTCTGAGCACCGACCTGTGGGACCCCACACGCTCAGAGGGATGGAGCCGTGGCCGACATCGCCAACTGCACTCTGATAGCTGCTCACCCGCCCGCCCTTGTGATGAAAGCCTGGAGGTTTAGACATCTGGCCAGCAGGATAAAAACTGCCTTTCCCAGCCTCTCCTGCAGCTGAGCATGGTCATATGGTTAGGTCTGGTCCGTAGGATGGAAAAGTGCTGTGACTTCTAAGACTTGTCCTTTAAAGAAAGAAGCTTGTGCTTCACACCCTGACTGCTGGCTGGGATGGAGCAGCTCTGTGAGACTCTGAGGCAAAGGCAAGGGGGGCATGTCGAGTGGCTGGAATGATGCTTAGGAAGCCACCATCTTAACCGGCCTGCCCTGCCTATCTTCAGATTTTATATGCAAGAAATAACCTACTCTCTTGCTTAAACCCACTTTTTTTTTTTTTTTCCATTTGCTCATTTTAGAAAACTTGATTTACAAAGAAAGCCAGACTAGAATAATGATGCCACATGTACATTGAACCCAGGGCTTCAGTCGTTGAATGGTTAACAACTTCTGGCCAACCTGATTTTTTTCTGTACCTGTCCATCCACTTCCCTGACTCCTAAATTCCTTGGAAGCAAATACCAGACATCTGTTTCATTTATGAACATTTCAGTTCGCATGTCTAAAAGACAAGGACTTTTAATACCCTGACCATATTTAAATTTTTATAACAATTCCTTAATTAAGCAACAAATATCAAGTCAGTGTTCCCAGGTCTAGTTGTCTCCTAACTGCATACTTGAAAACCTGCTTGCCCTGGGGTCCCAATAAGGTCTCACACTGCAGTGGATAGATCTTTAAATCACCTTTATCCTAAAGGCTGTCCCCTTGGAGGGACACTTCTCGTTCTTTTTTTTTTTTTTAATTCCTCTTGGACTGTATTTGTTGAAGAGATGGAATTGTTTGTCCTTTAGAGTTTGCCAGAATCTAAATTCTGCTGATGGCAGCCCCTGCTGCTGTTTATCAAGTTCCTCTGTTCTCTCAGCCTCCTGAAAATTGGCAGTTGCATCTTCTTTTCTTTTTCAACTCCTTACTGTTTATTTGAACATATTGTACAAAAGTAGAAAAATAAACATTTCTTCTGCAGCTCCATCAATAAGGGATGAGAGAAAGTAACAAGGCAGGATCAGGGCTTAGTGAATAAAGAGGGTCAGGGTCCCAGACGGCGTAGGGCTGGGTCCAGGTCTTCAGACACGCAGGTCTCCACTGACCGTCCCTCTCAGTTCCCTTATAAGGAGGCGGAAGGGGTTGAACAGGACAGAGGCCTTGAGGCAGCCTTGGGACCCCATCTCACAGTCTCCTGGAGATGCCACCAGTGGTGCAGGCGGCCCCGGGGCGGGAGTCCTGCCCTGGGCCAAGCCAGGATGCAAGCCTGAAGCTCGGGGCAGACGTGGCGTGGCACGTGCAGCAGCTGGTCAAGGACGACCGCCAGGGACGAGTGGGCCATGGCCCCCAGGACCTTGAGCATCAGGACTAGCCCCCCCTCCAGGGCCACAGGGCGCTTCACACCTGCAGCTGCCTCAGGTCCTGGGGCCCAGGGAAGGGGCGAGAGCTGCAGCTCCCGTTCTTCAGTGAGAGTGACTCTTCCAAGGCATCTTTGGCTCCGTTGAAGCCCTCCGGCTCCCGTGGCAACAGAGAAGGGAACCGGCCCCCGGGGCAGCCCATCCCCGCCACGGTGGGCTTGGACGTGGGGACAGGGCCTGCTCGGGCCAGGACCAGCCTCACGACCACCAACGCCAGGAGCCAAGCTGCAGCCACGGCTAGATCCCAACGGCTGGTCTGGCCCCAGGGCTCTGCTCTTAGCCAGGCTCGTGGGGCAAGCCCAGCTGACGTGTGTCAAGTGAGAAGGGAAAGGGAAACAGAAATCTCCACTTGGACTGCAGAGGGGCGAGTGGGTGGGGCCGGCTCCCCAGCCAGGTGAGCCTGGGCCTGTGCCAGGAACAAAAGAGAAACTGAAATTCAGTCGCAGGAGAGAACTTTGTTTCTGAGAAGTCCCTGTGCCTGGAGAGACTCCGGGTTAGGGCTCCTGGGGAATGCCTTTAGCTCACTGACTT